CACCTGCTCTTTCCATCAAGCATTATCAAGCCCAAGTTCACAAAGGTGTACACTAAAGACCAGACACAGGGAGCAGAGAGATAGCCTTCTACAAGCATGATGGGCCCTTCCTTAGCACAAGGCAACAACCCACTGAGGCAAGCGGTGACACAGAAGATGTGACGGAAATTCCACCCAGGCTGGTGGAAATCCATGAAAACGTAGCAGTCCCTTAAGGACGGTTCTGTGGGAGGAGTACAAATCCCTTTAGGACGCTCTTGCCCTTCAGTGAAGTGGTCTCTGGAAACAGGGCAATAGGACTAAAGAGATCTGAGACTCAGACCAGCAAATACAGGATTGGCAAAGACAGCTACCTAACGATTCAAAAATTAGACAGCTTTACCACAAAGAGGACTTGCCCACAGTTTGTCATGGTTTGTGGAGCTGGAATGAATAAAAGAACTGAAGTAAAAAATAAATATTAGGGGCTGGGGGTTTAGCTCAGCGGCATAAGTACCTGCCTTGCAAGCAGGCAGTCATGAGTTTGATCCCCGGTACCGATAAAAAGGAAAAAGACAGGGGCTGGGGGTTTAGCTCAGCAGCATAAGCACCTGCCTTGCAAGTAGGCGGTCGTGAGTTCGATCCCTGGTACCGATAAAAATGAAAAAAAAAAAAGGAAAAAGACAAAAATAAATAAATAAATAAATATTAAAGCTTAGAAATCAATGGAATAAAAAAATCGATCTCCATTTAACAATAATCAAATAAATGATGTTTCTATTGCTTCTAGTAGACTGAAAAGAGAAAGAAAAATACAAATATAAATTTCTAATATCAAGAAAAAAGGAGAGGGTATCCCTATTGATTCTACAGATATTTAAAGAATAATTAAGGCTATATTTTACAAACACTATGCCAGTGAATTTGCAGGCTGACTGAAGTGAAATGGGCCTATACTTTTAAAATAAATCTGAACTATAAATGTATCAGAAGAAAAAACAGCACAGAAGGTCTTCACAACCAAGTATGTCAAGATTTCCAAAGCACAATGAACATTAATCATTTATTTAATTAGAAAAACCAAATGTAATCAAAGCTTCTACCAACCAATATACCAATGAAAATATGAGCAAACAAACAGACTGAGAAAAACTGCTTATAATACACATATCTTATATATATAATCCATGAAAACATTTCATAAATGATTAAGTAAAAGGCAAACAGTTGAATATTTTTAAATGGACAAGTAGTATAACAGACATTTCTGTGAAAGTCAATAATCATAGGGCACGATCTTGAATATCACTGTTCACCAGGGAAAAGCAAATTAAAACCACCATGATAGTACAGACACTACTGGAAACGAACTCTGAAAACCCATTTCTCCATTTAAAAAATGAGAAGCCTGGTATAAACTGTCAAAATCAATCTTTTCAGGATTCTTGAAATTAACAAAAGGATTTCAATGTTTGATAAGTATTTATCTGGAAAAAAAAGTTGAAGGAACCTCAGTAAGAATTGTGCACTTTTGAGTGTTTAAATTGCTTTAATCCCATTTTCCTTTCCCATGCCCTGCAATTGCCTTAGAATCCAACCACCCATGATCATAGTAAAAAACGCAGCAGCCTGGCAGGCATGAAAGGGACAGGACAGGATGCAATCCTCCAAAAGCCCCATCTCCAGAGACATTTCCCTATTTGGCTGGCGTGGAAGCTCTCTGAAAAGTTTTACTCTTTGAATCTGTCTTTAACTGACTCAAGTCATTGTGTATACACAGCACTACTGCAGGACGTGTAACAAAAAACAAAACAAACAAACAAAACTAAAATTGTTTAACATTAATTTCTTGAGGCAATGGTACCAACTAAAGATAACAAAAGAATGACCAAAAGATTTAAGAGGAAAAAATCAGAAGTACAGTGTTCACAAAGGCTTTGAAAAGTTCAGGTGCATGCTGGGAATATCAGGCCTTGCTGCAGTTCAGGCAAAATCTGAGGAAGTTCTCTCCTGGAAAGATCTTATCTCTGGCTGACTTTGAGGGTCTACAGAAGCAGAAGTGAAGATCATGACATGACTATTAGCTGCCTGTAGAGCACTAAAATCATGCTCCAAAGCAGGTGCTTGCAGATGTCATCTGTAAAGGTCAAAAAAAACTATTCGTTCAAGGCATTTAAGAAATCTGTCTAACCATTAGCTGGCTGCTAAGCTAATCAAGCAGAAACTTCAGTGACTGCACACGGCAAAGAACATAGAATTTAGAGAAAAAGCCTGTGATAGGCACTAAACAAATACCAGCAACACAAGGAACAAACCTTGGAAAAGAGAGAATTTGATTTGTAGGGTTGCCACAATATACTACTTAAAATTCACATGTTCAACAACAATAAAATTATTTTTAAAAAGAAGAAATGAAAAAGTATGTACACAGAAAAGTTTGTACACAGAAAAAAGGAGTAAATAAAAACCATTTCTAAAGAAGCAAGATACGTGACTTAGCAAAGAAACACTTTAAACCAACTATTACAAATATCCTCTAAACATTAACAGGAATTATGCCTAAAGAATTAAAAGTCAGTATGAAATTAGAGAAATTATTTTTTAAAGCAAAACAGAAATTGAAAACTACTGTAAAATTAAAGACAAAGCTCTAGAAGGCCTCAATAATAGATATGAGAGGTAACAGAAAGAATCAACAAACTTGACCACAGGTCAGCTGGTACTATCCAGTCGAAGAAGCAGAAAGAGAAATGAATAAATAAAATGAACAGAGTTTGAAATACGTAGGTATCAGATCTATCAACATGTATAAATGGGAAAGAAATAAAAGAGGGAAGGAAAAACTAATAGTGAAGAAATAATGTTTAGCTGGGTGGTTGCTCACACCTGTAATCCCAGCACTCAGGAGGTTGAGGTGGGAGGATCTTTGTGAGTTCAAGACCAGCCTGGGCTACAAAGTGAGCTCAAGGCCAGCCTGAACTGCATAGGGAGACCCCGTCTCAAAAAAAAAAAAAAAAAAAAAAAAAAAAGACAAAAAAGAAATAATGTTTAAAATCTTACCAAATTAACAAAAGACATCAAAGAACATCCAAGTTCAACAAAATTCAAATAGGATAAATTCAAAAATCAGCACTTATACATCTGATATTAGTCTGTTTTCCATTGTTATAATGTTCTATCTGAAGCAAGGTAATACATAAAAAAAAAAAAAAGCCTTGGCTCACAGTTTTCAAAACTGAAAGTCCAACATTCGGCAGCCCCTTCTGTGCAACCTCTGGTGAGGCCTCCTTGGATGTGTCACACAGCATTGCAAAGGGCATCATGATAGCAGTGTGAGGAAGAGATTCGTGGCAAAGCACGAAAACACAGTTTGGAAAGGTCAGTCTTGCTCTTTTTATAATAACATATTTTCTTGGAAACTAACTCACTCCACAAACTAGCATTAATCCCTTCCAAAGGCAGCTTCCCCCATGACCAAATTACCATTCATCTGAAAGATTCACCATCCCCAGTGCTGCCACACAAGGGACCAGTTTTCTAGGACATGAAACTTTTGGAAACAAACCACAGCCAAACCACAGAACACAGCTTAATTAACCTATTAAACCTATCAAAGCCTAATCAACCTATCAAAAGACAAAACAGAGAATCTTTATAGCAAAGAGAAAAGTGACTCATCATGCAGAGAAGATCCATAAGAAGATTAATAAATGATTTCTTAGGGCCGGGGATTTAGCTAAGCGGCATAAGTGCCTGCCTGGCAAGCGCAGGATCATGAATTCGATTCCTGGTACAAAAAGAAAAAAAGAAAAAAAGATTTATCAGAAACTAGGGAAGCCAGAGGTATAAGATGACATATTCAAAGTGCTAAAAGAAACTGTCAATAAAGAATTCTATACCCTGGGGCTGGGGATTTAGTTCAGTGGCATAAGCACCTGCCATGCAAGCAGGCAGTCGTGAGTTTGATCCCCGGTACCGATAAAAAAAAAAAAAAAAAAAGAATTCTATACCCAATAAAACAATCATTTATAATACAAAGAAGAAATTAAGACATTTCCAAATATGAAATTCATCACTAGCAGAGCTGCCACACAAGAAATGCTAAAGTGAGTCCTGCCTGCAGGCTGAAATGAAAACACAGTAGACAGTAACTAAAAATCCACAGAAGGAAGTAACAACTGCAAGTAAAGGAAACAATGTAAAAATAGACACCATAAATAGGGTTTTGGCTGCCCTTTTACAGCATGCCCAATTTAAAAGACAACTTCACCCTGAGGACAGTCATGATAAAAAAGATAGACAATAACAAGTGTTAGTAATCATATGAAAAAACTGAAACACTGATGGATTGCTGGTAGGAATATAAAATGATGCAGCTGCTTTGGAAACAGTTTGATAATTCCTCAAAGTGCTAAAAAGAATCACTATATGATCTAGCAATTCCTCTCCTAGGTATATATTCGAAAGAATATGTCCATATAAAAACTACATCAGCATTATTCAGAATAGACCAAAATGCAAAGAATCCAGCTGTTCATCCACTGATGAGTAGGTAAACAAAATATAGAATACACACACACTTTATATACAGCTGCAACAGGCAAAACTAATAACAGGAGAGAGAACATGGTTTCTAGACTAAAGGAAAAGCATACAAAAGTACATTTGGAAGTGATGAAAAGTAATCTGGGTGGTTATATAGGTAAATAAAATTGTCAAAAAGAACCAAGTGAACACTTGAAATTGTGCATTTCATTATATGTAAACTTTAAAAAGAGTACTTGTGGGAAAAATTAACATTTCACTAATATTCACAAGTGAAATAATAAGATGCCTGGAATAGCTTTGAAATACTTTAGAACAAAGTATGAGAATTAGGTGAAAATTAGCATACTAGTGGTAAATGTTGAAAGTGGGTGATAAGTACATTAGATTTATACTATTCACTCTACTTCAGTGTATGTATGAATATTCCCACAATAAAGCTAGGATTTATTCATTCATAAATAAATATTCCTTACTGTAGTTCCGTGGCACAAGTTCTGGGTTCTTAGGCATTTTCAACTTGTAGGATACATCTCCAATATTAATTGTATCACCTAAAAAGAATAAAGAAACAGAATGATTACGAGGCAAGTGATACATACTATCCCTTTAGCAACAATGATCCTCCTGACCTATGGAGAAGTCTCATAGAAACATGTCTGCGTCAGGTCCTAAGTTCCAAAACCTCCATCCACAGTATAAGCTGCATCACGGAGAAGTAAGGCATTGTTACAACTTGTAACTTGATTTCCCCCCAAAGCCTGATGCACTCATAGGTGGGGATTTTTATTTATTTATTTGTGCCTGGGATTAAACTCATGACCTGGCACCTGCTGAGCAGGTGTTTATGCCGCTGAGCTAAATCCCCAGCCCCTTAGGTAGGGCTTTTTGACTGTATTTAGGGTGTGTGAATGTGGATTAAGGGTGTGATACTGGGAATAAGGACGTATGCATTAGTCCATTAATTGGTTTACCACACCTCTGAGTAACACCACCCAAAAGGCAGAAAGCCTGGATGGAATACAAAGGGACAGAAACCACAGCTACTGCTTTTGCTGTTGGTGTTGTTTGCTCCTTGCAATCTTCTGACCATCCTCCTTTGTTTTGAAATTGTTTCTACTTTGTGATAACCCTCTGCCACGCCACCTTGCCTTAGGGCCAGCTATGCACTGAAATCTATGCAAACTGTGAGCCAAATAAACCTTTCTTCCTTTAACTTGTGAGTGTCAGGTATTTTGTTATAGCACTGAAAGTAATTAAGACAGACAGCAATGAAATTTGCATTTCAAGCATTGGGCTGACAAAAAGATGAAGTACAATAAAATTTAATACCCAGCTTTATTTTGTTGCTAACATAGGCAAAAAATACAGAATGTATTTCAAAATCATCTAAGTCTTCAATACATATTCTCAACCTTTTTGATAACTTTATACATCTTCATTTCTAACATATACCATTTCAAGCACTCCAGCAACCTGCCCACCAAATTCAATATTTCTAGGTCCACAAAAAAAAGGCCCCAAGATGCATAAATGTCACGACTTTTTACATGAAAGAAGTAAAAAGAGAACAAAAGTCCTCACTCAGTACTACACTGTCCTAGTTTTTTTAAAATAACATTAATTTCTGACAAGATATGGGCATAAAAAAATCTCTAATCAGTATTAGCAAAAACATTCCTTTTTAATAAACTAAGAGATAACAGTGTAACTGACTTGTAGTTTTTATGGCTGAATAGCTCTCCACTATATAAAAATACCACATCTTTTCAATCCATTCTTCAGTTCATGGGCATCGGTGTGGTTTCCAAGATTTAGCTATTACAAATTGTGCTGCTATAAACATGGGTGCACATATATTGCTGTGGCTCACAGGTTGGTTCAGTTCTGACATTTCTTTGCTGATTTTTTATCTGGTTGATCTATGTGTGACAGTGGGGTATTAAAGTTCCCCCATCACAATTGTGTTATTGCTCATTTAATTTTTCATGTCTGTTAATATTTGTCTTATATAGTTGGGTGCTCCCGTATTTGGTGCACACATTTGATTGTTATCTCCTTCTTTTGAAATTTTCTCCTAACAAGTATACTGTGACCTTCTTTATCTCTTTTGATCATTCTTAAAAGTTGACATTGTCTGCAAACAGAACAGCTACTTTTTTTCTGGGTTCCTGTTGCATGAAGTATTGTTTTCCATCCTTTAACTTTCAATCTATGAATTTTTTTTTAGTTAAATGTGTTTCTTGTATACAGATTATTATTGAATTTTTTCCTTCTTGATCCATTCTGCCAGTCTGTTTCTTTTGATTGGTGAATTGAAGTCATTTACCTTGATGGTTATAACTGATATGTATTGGCTTACCTTTGTTGTTATTTTCCTGCTGTCGGTTCCCTGCTTTTTCCCTCTGTGTAACTGCTTGCCTTGTCTGGTTTCTTTCCTCTGTTGTTCTTGGAATTGTGGTCATTTTTATTTCTCTCTAGAATACCTTCCAGTACCCTTTGTAGTGTTGGTTTGGTGGTGATGAATTTCTTCTTTGTCATGGAAGTGTTTTATTTCTCCATTAATTTTGAAAGATAGCTTTTTAGGGTATATCGATCTAGGTTGGAAGTTGTTTTCTTTCAGGACTTGAAATATTTCACTCCAAGCTCTTCTTGATTTAAGAGTTGTGTTGTGATTCTGATTTGTGATTCTTTATTTATAGGTGATTTGTTTCTTTTCTCTAACAGCTTTTTTTTTTTTTTTTTTTTTTTGTACCAGGGATTGAACTTATGACCTTGCACTTGTCAGGCAGGTGCTTATGCAGCTGAGCTAAATTCCCAGCTCTCTAACTGCTTTTATAATTCTGTTCTTATGCTGAATTTCTGCGGTTTTGATTATTATAAATCTGGGTATAGATTTATTTTAGTTATGGCTAATTGGAGTTTCATATGCTTAACATCTGTATGTCAGATTCTTTTCCCATGTTTGGGAAATTTTCTGCCATTATTTCTGCAAATAGATTTTTGTATCATTTGTTGACTCCTGCCTTTTCACTGACACTAATTATTCTTGTATTATTTTTCTTTGCATCACCTTGCAGCTGTTGAATTGTAATTTACTAACTTTTTTGTTATTTTCAAGAGATCATTCCTTTCATGATCACTGGCCAGTATCTTGTCTTCAAAGTTGGAAAGCCTGTCTTCAGTTTCCTTCCAGTGATTTTATCAGCTTTCAATGGAATTTTTAATTTCCTGGATATTTTGAATCCATTTCACGCATTCTATTCCTTTTTTATATTGACCATTCATGGTTTCCATCCTCTTCTTAGCAATGTCTGTTGTTTTATCTAGCTCTACTCTAGATTTGCTGAGCAGTTCCTTTATAAATTTGATTATTTTTTTACCTGAAAGATTATTTCTTACACTTGTTCTGGGCAGGCTGGAGATCCCAGGCTGCATGTTGCTTCTGCATCTTGTCATTTTCTATTTCAAAAGTTCTTATTTTGGGTTTGTGTGTGTGTGTTGATCCTGGTAATTTTTTGTAGTATGTAGCTTTATCACTAGCATCAAGGCTTCTCTAGGTAAGGTTTGTTCTTAAAGGATGTCTTCTGTATGGAGGTTCTTGGTTTGGTTTCTGTGTCTCAAGATCTTACCACTTGTTGGCCCATATTGCTACTGTTGTTTCTGACAATTTCACATTGATAATCCCCCCTGCCCACCCTGTGCACTCTGGCTGGAAGTCCTGCTGTGTGACTAATGTTTCCACCAGTCTCTGGGTCTTCCTGTACTGTTCACCTGGATCCTGGCAGCCACTGGTCTCTGGGCCTTCCCACAGCATTTTTCACCTCCCACCTGACCTAAAGTGCAGGTCTACACCAAACAATCTCTCCGCTTTGCTCTCTTGTACAGCAAATCAGACATCCTAACACCATTTGCACCTGGAGCTTTATTTGGAAAGGGCTCAAAAACGCTCAGAAAAAGTAGCTGTACAAAACTCATCTTTTAGCATGGTCAGTTTGGTACATTCAAAACTAAGACTTTAAATCACAGCAATAATAACAGCCTTACTGTATGCTTACTATCTCCCACATCCCCCGAAACAGTCCTCTGAGTCAAAGCTTTACAAATGACAAAGTTTGTAAATCTGTAAAGAAGTATTTATAGACAAAGAGATTTTCTTTACAGATATATAGAAATTGAGAGAAGATAAGCACAACAAACAAAGCTAAATCTTGCTTAGATCTTAAATTACCAGCCAGAAGGAAGCAAGACAGAACGCATCAAGGAAAAAAATCCTTAAGGTTGCAAACTTGCTCCATAATTACCTACTCCTTCTTCCTCTTAACAATAAACTGTCTTTATTCTATCTATCATAGAGATTCTTAAAATATCAGCATTGCCTGGGAACTTATTAGAAAAGCAAACATTCAGGTCCCACTCCAAACCACTGAATTAGACACTGGAGTGAGCACAACAACCTGCGTTTCAGGAGTATCTCCAGTGATAAAATTCTAACATTCTTCAGGATGGAAATCACGAATGGTCAGCAGGGTCTTAGAGTGCTATACAAGCTTAATTTCCTCCAGGCATTGGTTTACAGATCATGCTGCACTATTTTCCTTAATGCAGGAAAGAAAACATAAAATAGCTACCTTCTAAAGTAGATTTTTTTTTAAAGGATAAGCTTACTTACAAATAAAAGTGTGGGTAGTATCATTGCTTAAAATATAAGTACAATAGCCTTTATAAAAGATGGTTATAAAGAATTATAGCTATGGTATTTTCAAATCAGATGCCTTTATAAATGCTGTTTTATTTTTCTAAAAATTATAATTACATAGCATCCTGACAAAACTGATAGTAAACATAAAAGCATTTTTAGTCACTAGTTCTCATTACAAATCTAAGAAGGAAGGCTGACAACTGGCTACCCACGAGTTTAAAAAAATTGAGGTAAAATTCCCAAATCACGTCCTATAAAAATAAACTCAAAATACACTAAAGATCTTCTACACATTGAAAATACATACAAAATAATTTAAAATATAGTTGTGGGGTTGTCAATGTGAAAAGGATTTCTTAAGCAAAGGCAAAGACCAAATATTTTGCAACACTAAAAATTTACTATATATTAGTAAAGTTACCATAAATAATTAAAATATAACAAAGGTACTGATTCAGAATATATTAAAAGCTGCAAATCAATAAGAAAAAACAAACCAACAGAAAAATAGGTATAAATATATAACAGAGAATTCACAGAAGTCACAAATTAGTAACAAGCAGAGAAAGAAACACACATTTATAGCATGGATAATGGAAACTAAAGGGAGAAGCCAATTCTGAGGTATAAAATCCAAAAACCGTTTCAAGTTCAATAGCACTGAGTAAAGAAGGAAACAATATTCTGGTGTACTGCTGACTTACATATGAACTGGTACAACCACTTTAGAAGCAAATTCTAATTCTCATTACTTTCCATCCCTACCAAAGTACCCTAAGAGACACACACTCCTAATGCTATGGCCTGAATGTGTCCCCCACAAAATCATGTGTTGAAATACTAAATTCCCAA